GGGTACAACAGTGGTTGCCAGGGACTGGGGGCAGGGGTGTGGGGAATTGTTCAGTGGGTACATAGTTTCTGTTTGGGATGATGAAAAGTTCTGAAGATGAATGAATGGTGGTGGTGGTGGTGATGGTTGTTCAACAGTGTGGATGGACTTGGTGCCACTGGATTAATTGTACGCTTGAACGTGGTTAAAATGGTAAAGTTTAGGTTATATATATTTTACCATGGTATTTTTAAAAAAATATATTTTATTGATTTTTTTACAGAGAGGAAGGGAGAGGGATAGAGAGCTAGAAACATCGATGAGAGAGAAACATCGACCAGCTGCCTCCTGCACACCCCTGACTGGGGATGTGCCCGTAACCAAGCAACCAATCAATGTACATGCTCTTGCCCGGAATCGAACCTGGGACCTTTCAGTCCACAGGCCGACGCTCTATCCACTGAGCCAAACTGGTTTTGGCTACCACGGTATTTTCTTAAAAAAAAAATTTTTTTTTTTTTTAAACAAGTCCTCACCCAAGGACATGTTGAGAGCGAGGGAGGAAGAGGGAGAGAGAGAAATATCAACATCGATGTGAGAGAAATACATGGAAGGGTTGCTATCTGTATGCTCCTCGACTTAGGATCACACCCGCAACCCAGGTATGAGCCCTGCCCAGGAATCGAACCGGCAACCTTTAGGTGCAGGAAGCTTAACCAACTGAGCCACTCCGACGGGGCTAAAGTTGTTTTTCAAATGGTCCTTAGAGAGGAGGCAGCCCCTGGTCAGTGCCCCTCCCTTCAGACCAGGGCTTTTCAACAACAGCACGTTTTGACGTTCCCATTTTGACCTGAATTAATGATTCTTTGTTGCTATCCTGTATCGTACAGAGTGTTAGCAGCTCCCCTGGCCTCTACACACAGGAAGCCAGCCATCTGCCTCAGCCCCGTGTGGCCATCAACAATGTCTCAGACACGTTGCCACATGCTCTCTGGGGCAAAATAACCCCCGTTAAGAACCACTGCCTTCACCAGCTTGGAATAAGCTGCTCACAGAGGAAGCTGGAGGAGTGGGTAGAGAAGCAGCAGGCAGTGGTCCCAGGGTGAAGGGGTCTTGCCGGAAAGGCAAAAGTCAACAAATCCTGAGGGCCCCCAGGAGGTGGCGGGCAGGGTTTGAAGATCCAGAGTGACACCCTAACCCGTTTGGCTCAGGGGTTAGAGCGCCGGCCTGCAGACTGAAAGGTCCCAGGTTTGATTCCGGTCAAGGGCATGTACTTTGGTTGTGGGCACATCCCTGGTCAGAGGTATGCAGGAAGCAGCTGATGGATGTTTTGCTCTCATTGATGTTTCTAACTATCCCTCTCCCTTCCTCTCTGTAAAAAAAAATAAATAATAATAATAATAATAAAATCAATAAAATATTTAAAACAAAAACAAAAACAAACAAGATCCAGAGGGAGGCCTAATGGGCATGGGCAGGTGCACAATGGGTGACAAGATCAAGCTTGTCTCAAACCTGTTGCCCCCACTCACCCAAGAGAGAAGTGAGTGTGCTCCCGGCTGCCATGCCCCTCCCCGGCCCCGGCCCCAAGGTGAGAAGCAAAGGAAGATGAACTTGTCACCTCCAGCTGCAGGTGGGTGCGCCTTCCAAAGGGGCCAGCGGCTGCTCCTTCCTTCCTCCTCTCCCCGTGGGAACAACGAGTGTCCCGGGGTGTGCTGCGTCCTCTTTCAAGGCAAATGAAAGCAAACAAATGCTGAGCCTCTAACAGTCAGGTAGGGCCTGCAGCAAAGCCGAGGCTCCCTCTGGGTGGGAGCGGGCTGCTCTCGCTCCGCACCCGGCCTCCGGCGGCAAGGAAGCCATTGTGAATCCTGAGCACCTGCCAGGTGCCCGCTCCACGCTGAGTCTAACCAGACAAAGGTCCTGCCTCCGAGAGGCATAAGCTAATGGCGAAAGGGGAGAGGGGAGGAGAGCAGAGGAGGCAGCGGAGAGGAAGGCGAGGAAGGCGTGGAGGTGGGGGCAGGACTGTGCGGGGCTGGCTGGGATGGCCTGTCTCAGGAGCTTCCAGGTGTGGGTTATGCTTTCTTCTCGCCTGAGATGCCCCTTGTAGGGAGCACCCAGCTCCTCCCCCAGAGACTGGAAGAATTGCTTCAGTCCAGTTGCCTGTGGACCTCCTCCCTCCCTCTTGGTGATCTGCCCAGTGACCCTGGGCCCCAAAGAGAGGGCGGTGAGGGGCTCAGGGTGGGTTCTCAATGCATAAGGTGGATCGAGGGGTCCACAGCCGGAGTCAGTAGCTCCCCTTAATCCCAGAGCTTTGGGTGATGCAGGCTCACCGAGGACCAGAGTGGGCGGGCATGGGGAATGGCCCAGTTGGGACGAGTGGGAAGGGAAGTGTTAACCCTGGGGCTGGAGCTGTGCAGAGCACCCCGCCTTCCGCCTCCTCCGCCTGCCTCTGAGGAGATGGTGTGTCTGCACTGCCTCAGACGGGGTCTTGCAGGGCTGCCTGGGAGGGAGCTTGCTCAGGGGGCGGGCAGGAGCCTGGGTGGGTGAGGTCTGGGAGCAGGTGCTCCTGACTCTCGGTGCTATGGAGCTGGCAGTCAACAGGAAGTGAGTCCCAGGGTGGGAAGGAGCCGTGTGGTTCCCAGGCAGGAAGTAAACAGCAGCGGGTTGTCTTGAGCAGTTTTGGGGGCCAGGGCTGTGGGGCAGCAAGAGGCTTAGGAAAGAAGAATGCCGCCATGCTCAGGAATGGGCTGTGACCGACACAGTGGGCCTGCGGGACCCCACACCCACCTCCCTGGAGGGCCCCGCTTGGAGCTCGGTGGTGCCTGGCACAGCCAGACCCAGGTGGCTGTGGGGGCCCAGGCGTGCCCCCCTCTCCAGGCTGCTGGGCCCCCTGACTTCCTTACCTACGAGAAAGCCTTGGGGGAAGAGGACTCCCACCAGGGAGGGGCTTCCTCAGGGGGCCCCGTAGGTTTGAGCAGGGAGGTGGGAAAATCTGTCTGAGCCCTGCAAAGAGCGGTGGGTCTCGACACGTGGGACGGCAGCTGAGGAGAGAGACAGGGCCTCTAGCTCCACTTGCATTCCCGCGTTTGACCTCGGGGCTCTGCTGGCTTGGCCCTCAGTGCCCAAACCTAGTGGTGGACTTCTAGCTTCCGCTTCCGCCAAAGGCCTCCTCTCCCCTGGCTGCAGCCTCCCCGCCCCCATGCTGCGGGCTGCACACATTTGCAGCTTTCCCTGGGAGGTGCTCTTCCTGGAGGCCTGCCCGCCCGCCGGCTGCCACCCGGCCAGGAGAGCAGCTTGGCAGGGGGCCTGGAGTTCCCTCCCGCTCCCTCTCGCTCACGCTGCTCCCTGTGTCTGCAGGCTCGTCCAGGGAGGATTCTGGTGTAGTCCTGTTTTTTTGTCTTTATTTTTATTGTTTTTCCCGAGGCCCCGGGCTCTATCTGCCACCCGTGGGGGTTTGTCACCAAAGAATAGCAGGCTCCGAGTTGAGATCAGAGACCCTAAGAGCAGAAGCCACGTTGGAGGCTGCAGGACTGTGGGGAAGGGGGGGCAGGCCTGGGGAACCGGGGCTCTCCCAGGTTTTCTGGGTGCGCTTGAGTGGAACAACACATGGGAGGGCTGGGCGTTTCCACTCACGCCAAGACCGGCCTGTCCTCACCCCAGCCAGCCCACTTCTGGGACTCCGGCCTGCAGGAATCCGCAGATGCACAGAGCACTCAGGGCAAGCGTTCACCTCAGCAGAAAGCAAATCAGGCCCGACCGACGTGCTCCGTGGTGGAGCTTTGACCTATGAACCAGGAGGTCACAGCTCGATTTCTGGTCAGGTCACATGCCTGGGTTTCGGGCTCAGTCTACAGTGTGAGGTGTGCAGGAGGCAGCTGATCGATAATTCTCTCTCCTCGTTGATGTTTTTCTCTCTCCCTCCCCCTTCCTCTCTGAAACCAATAAAAATATATGTTTAAAAAAAAATCAAATTGGCCGAAACCTGTTAGGCTCAGTGGATAGAACGTTGGCCTGTAGACTCAAGGGTCCCAGGTTCGATTCTGGTCAAGGGCATGTACCTTGGTTGCAAGGCACATCCCCAGTGGGAGGTGTGCAAGAGGCAACTAATCGGTGTTTCTCTATCATCAATGTTTCTAACTCTCTTCCTCTCTGTAAAAAAATCAATAAAATGTATTAAAAAAATAAAAATCAAATCGGCCCAAAGGCTCACCATGTGCACAGGGAGGGAGAGACGCTCACCCTGCTTTGTTAAGTGAAGATGCAAGGTGAAGAACAGGATGAGAGCATGGTATCCTTTAGAAAAAACAATTCTGGACCAGTGTGTGCGTCCGTATGTATATAGAGACATAGGGGAAAAGGTCTAGGACAGGTACCTGTCAAACGGTTAATAGTTTACCTGTAGGGAGTTCTCAGATACTTGGGAACAAAGCATTGCATTTGGGAGGATGTGCTGTATGAACTGAGAATTGCTTGGTGGGGCCTTGGCTGTCCTGGCGTCTGAGCACCTGGGAGACCCGTGCGGGCCAAAGCTGAGGGAAAGAATGTGCTGGACTCTGGGGCTCAGAGGAATGCTTCTTTGGAGAGGGGGGGTGTTTGACCCTCCGGCAGCTTGTCGCTGGGTTTACAGACCCGGGGAAAGCTGGGCAGGCTGTGGCACGGAAATCGGATCAGCCCAGGCTGGTCCTGTTCTGAAGGAGGGATGTGGTGAGGCTGCACAAGGCTGGGGGAGGGGCCCTATGTCACCCCAGTGAGTGAGTGTGTGTGGGGGGGTGGTGCAGCTTGGGCTATGGAACCAGCTGGCAAACCTGGCTGGATTCTTCTCCCGTTTCTTCAGCTGGAGTCCATAGATCCCTTGACTTCAGGAGATCAAGCCCGTAAACCCCTTGAAACGGAGCAAAATTGCGAATGCACGAAGGTCATGCAGAACCTCATGAACGTTTATGTGAACAAAATTAACCCGGACAGAGCGTTTCCACCAGAGTTCCCCGGGTCTAACCCTCTCCGTGTCTGTCCACGACCAGGTGGAGAGCAGTGACACGCCGAAGGACGCTGCGGTGACCTCCAAGTCCCCATCCATGGCCCAGGACTCGGGCCCCTCAGAGCTGTTACCCAATGGGGACCTGGAGAAGCGGAGTGAGCCCCAGCCAGAGGAGGGGAGCCCTGCTGGAGGACAGAAGGGCGGGGCCCCGGCAGAGGGAGAGGGTGCCGCCGAGACCCCGCCCGAAGCCTCCCGCGCCGTGGAGAATGGCTGCTGCACCCCCAAGGACGGCCGAGGAGCCCCCACAGAAGAAGGTGAGTCCCTGGCTCCAGGGGCCACCTCTTTGGGGCTCCCCTGACAGTTGGAGACTCGGGTCTCTGGAGGCGGGGGCTGGACGTGGTAGCTGAAGGTCTCCTTGCCCAGGTGTGCTCTGCAGGCTACAGGCCGGATGCAGCCTATCCACAGGTTTTATTAATATTTGGCCCATGTCGTATTTTAAACATTTTTTTTTTTAGAATGAAAAAAGTTTTATTGACCATTAACTTTCACAAGCTAATTTCAAGATAACACCTTGTACCATCACCATATGTAGCCTCACTTCTTATTTATGAGACGTTTGATTACTATGTGGTTTTGAAACTAACAGTGAGAACTATTAAAGTGATCAGACCTCTAAAGACACATCAATAATGTACTAATGCAATTAATGTTTACATAGTTCTAATGCATATTTCTATTGAATTTATGACATTCATTTAAATATTACTCCTTAAGAAGTCAGTAAGTAATGACATTTGATTTTAGAAATGCACATTTGAGCTGGTAAACATTAAAATGAACCATTATTACTTCAACTGTTCTGGTTGAGGGACCAATAAGTCCTAAATAATGCTTTCTTTTTAGTACTAGCATTTGACTTTGCCATGGAGGAAAATTTCTCTAGATTACATTAATGAGTGTGTCTCACTATTTCTTTTGTAATCCAGATTTGCCAACTGGGAAGCTTAAACATTTAAAAAAAAAAATTAGTTGCCAATATTTAAATTTGAGACATTTCACATAAAAAATCTGGAGTTTTGGCTTCTTGTGAGAAAATAAAACAGCTAGACCAAGTGGGTTACAGAATGCCAACATTTGCTGGACTGGGGTGATGGCTGTCCCCCTTTTTTGGGCACACCCCCTCCCCCCAATCAGGCTGGTTGTGCACCTGTTTCCCTCAGCCCCACCTGGCCTACTTGCTCGCCATGAGACCTCAGTTCTTGGGGATCGCTGTGTTTGTAGCCCCCCTGGCATGGGTGCCCAAGGATAGCAGATGCCCTGTGGGCATTAAAAGCCAGAGAGCCTTCCCAGCACAGATGTCCTGAGCCCGCCAGAGTGTAGATGACTGGACTGCGCTGTGGTTGTGACAGGCGGGGGAGGGGCAGGTGGCTGGGGCACTGCCCGGGTCCAGGCCTCTTCTTCCTCCAAGGACTTCTTGGCCTGGCCCCAGAGTCCTGGAGAGCCGCCCACTTTTCTCTTTCAGGTTAAGCCAGCGATTTCGGGGCCAACCGAGCTGTAAACATGTTAGTAGTGAGCACAACTAGCATTTGTACAGGGCCTCACAGTTTACAAGGCGCCTTCTCATACATTATCACATTTGATCCTCCCAGGGCCCTGCCAGGTTGCTTTGCATATGTGCATTTCAATTTTAAAAAGCCTTCCCTCCAAGCGTGAGTGTGATGGAATGAGTAAATTGATTAATTGGCATCACTCATTCTGCGCGGATCCAAACCTCACATTCATGCCGGGTGGAGAGCATCTCCAGAAGAGATCTCCAGATTCACTAAAGAATCCTTTGGGCGTTTATGACTCAGCTGATGTCTACGGTGCTCCCACTATGTGCAAAGCGTTTTCTGAGGGTCTCCGTGTTCAGTGTCTTACTCTGCCAAACGGTCTCCTTCACGAGGAATCACTGTCCCCAATTTAAGGTGGAAAAGATTGAGGCTTACCAAGAAGAGGTGACTTGCTCAGAAGCACCAAACCTGTACGTGGCAGGTCCAGGAACGAGTCTGTCCTAGTCTCTGGCTTCAGAGTCGGGGTGCCCGTCCACTCTCCCCTCTCTTCTGCAGTGCGGCTGGGAGGCCTGCACCCTGACCTGTCCAGGGCCCCTACCCTCACCCCAGTGCCTCCTGGGCTGTGTCCTGACACTTGGTGGGAGTATTCAAGGGGCCCACGTGGAGTAAAACAAAGGAGGGAAGGGAGTAGCTCCCATCCTCCTGTTAGAAAGGCCAGGTGTGCACAACGGAACCTGTCAGCCGTTCCCACCACGTGTGCTGGTCCCCAGGGCGGGTCTTGGCTGGTTCCCTGGTTCCTGGGACCCCACTATCATGGCACCCAGCTGCTGCCCCGGGCCCCAGCAGTCCTTTCAGGCTGCTTTTCACCTTGAGGTTTGCTTTGGTTTGGGATCTCCCTGTCTCCCTTTCTATCTGTTTCCAGGAGCTCCTTCCTCAGTCAGTCAACAGGTATTTATTAAACACCCCTCTGGTCTGTGCCAGGATCTGGGAAAATCCTCATGAACAAAAACCTGGCTCTTGCCCTTAAGGACCTCCCCGTCCTCTGAAGAGAGACACATTCATGAGAAATCCGCACTGAAGAGGGTGTGATTAAACACAGTTAAGTTCTCTAGGAGAAAATGAACATGGTTCCATGAGGAACTGTAACAGAGGAGCCTTGGCTGTCCCACCTAAAGGGGAAGGTTCCCCAGGTGAGGGGTGTGCAGGGAGGGAGTGAGAACAGGAATAGAGCCCTCAGTGGGAGGGAGCAGGGCCCTTGGGGACCTGACAGAAACCCACAGGCTGGCGTGGGGTGAGGAGAGAGCAGGCAGGGCCACCCTGACATAATGTGCTGCACACTGTGGAAAGATCAGTTTGCCATCTGGATCCTGGGACGGAATGAACAGAGGGGCCAGAGGCAGGATGAGGCCTAGGAGTCACTGCAGATGCTACAGACAGAGAGGGGAGGCGCAGGCTCTGATGAGTGAGGAGGTAGCAGAACTGAATAGAGGCAGACACGTGCCAGGAACGTGAGAGAAAAGGGGGCAGATGCTCAGGGGTGACTTCGGCAGTCAGATCTTTTCGGAAGCTTCGTGTTGAGCATGGTGGGGCAAAACGCTCGTTTCCTTGATCTCCAGAGTCTGGCCTCAGAGCACTCCTGTGTGGCCGCAGCAGCCCGAGCAGGGGAGGTGCTGGCAGCAGGGGCTACAGCTGGTAGGATCCTTGAAGGGCACTGGGCATTGCCTGATGCTGAGCCTGGTGGGGAGTTACTTAGAGGGGTGGGCAGTGGCCTCCTGGGGGCTTGGCCACTGTTCCTGCATCAGCCACACAGAATACATACTTAGTTGCTTGGTTCTGAGGAGAAAGGAGACTAAGGCCCCAGCAAGGAAGGAACTGGGCTGCGGTCTTCTTTCAGTTCCCCTCATGCCAGGTCTCCCTTCAGGGGACCCCATCTGTCTCTCCTGGAACCCCTCTCCTGAGGTCCCATACAGGAGAAACGGAAGGCTCTCACCCAGAGTTCCTCCGGCCTGGGCCCCCTCCAGGATGCACCGCAGGAGCCCAGCTCCTGAGAGCACAGCCAGGAGAGAGGAGGAGGAACCGGGGAGAGGATGCGTCATCAGGACAAGAGCCACCTGGACACACAGGCGGTGGCCTTCAGAAGGCGCCTGCCCTCCGGGCGCGAACGCCGTGGTGCTAACAGGGACGGTGCCAGCTTGGCTTTCTGTGACTCACTGTGTCGAGTGTGCTGTAACCTCACTCCTCCCAAGCGGTCCATCCATCCCCTGGCATCACTTGAGACGTGAGGGATGCAGACTCGCAGGCCCCACCCTAGATCTACTGAGAGGAAGAGTGAGGGATAGAGAGTTAGAAACATCGATGAGAGAAAATCACCTATCAGCTGCCTCCTGCACACCCCCTACTGGGGATGTGCCCGCAACCAAGGTACATGCCCTTAACCGGAATCGAACCTGGGACCTTTAAGTCCGCAGGGCGATGGTCTATCCACTGAGCCAAACTGGTTTCGGCCTACCATTGTTTTTTTAAAATCCTCACCCGAGGATATCTTTGTTTGAAAAGAGAGGAAGGGAGAGGGAGAGAGAGAGAAAAAAAAACACAAAAAACAACAAACATCAATGTGAGAGAGAAGCATTGATCTTATGCACCCCGACTGGACATTTAACCACAATCTGGGGGTGTGCCCTGACCGGAATCGAACCCACCACCTTTTGGTGCACTGGATGATGCTCCCACCAGCTGGGCCACTCAGCCAGGCTATCCCCACTTTTCAGATGGGGAGACTGAGGGTTCGGAGAGTTCAGTTACCTACCCAAGAGGATACAACTCGTGAAGGACCAGCTTATTAAGGTCGGCACAGAGCTCCCCCCTCCTCCGTGCCGGGCTGGCGACTGCCCTCTATGGTTGAGACCTAGGTTCACTGGAAAGGGAATTTGGGGTGGCCCCCTGCTGAGTACACTCCCAGAGGAGTGTTAGGAGCACCCTGGCCTCCAAGCCTGCCAGGGCCACCCGGGAAGGCTCAGGGCCACCTGGCGCGGCCTGGGGCCTGGGTCTGGGCCAGGAGCAGACGGACGCCGAGGCGGAGTGCTGAGGGAGCCGCTCTCCCTCCTTGACTCGGGACAAGTGCAGCAATCTGAGGCGGCCCAGGGTGTTGTTCTGCGGGCTCAAGTGTGTGTGTGTGTGATATCACTCAGCTGGGCATGCGCAGAGGCCGCCAGGGAGAAAAATTCCAGAAAGAAGGAAGTTAACAACTTATGTACGGAAGAACCCTTGTGTTTGAGGAGCATGGGGCCCATGGGGCCGGGGGGGGAGGGGGGGGTTACGGGAGAGGGAACATCTGGAAAGATGGTGCAGTGTGTGGGCTGGCTGTCTTCGTAGCCCACTCCCCAGGCCTGTTTCCCCAGCGGCCAAACCAAACCTAGGGGCCGGGAGCTGGACTCCATTATCCTCACATTACTTGTCTTTCAGCGGCCGGTTTCCTTTCATTTGCATGCACAGACGATTTTCCGTGTAGATCCAATGTCCCGGAGGGTCCCGGGTAGGAAACGTTTGTTTGAGGCCCTAAGGGTGCATCCGCTCCGGGGGCGGGCGCCCCCTTCCGGCAGCGCCAAGCCTCGCCGGGCAAACACTGTGCAGGTCGGAGAGGGCGGAGGGAGGACTGCAGGGAGGAGGGACTTGAGGGGAGGAGGGCCAGCGGCTGGCAGGATGGGGAGCCCCTCGGGAATGTTGGGGAGCGGGCAGTGCTGAGACCGGAGGGCCAGAAGGAACCATGTTGGAGGAGAGAGAGAGTCCGGGTGAGAAAAGCCTCCCGAGGCCCGCCGCGTGCAAAGCGTGTCCGCAAGGACGTGCGCGCCCCGCCGCGCGCCCCCGCCACAGGCTGCGCGCCTCCTCCCCCGGCCCCCCGCCCCCCGCAGCCAGCCCTGCGGGTGCAGCGGCCCACGGGGCTCCCGGGGGTCCGTGCTTGCGGACTGTGCTCCCCCGCTCCCATTCCTGCAGGTGCGGGCCCCGCCTCCCCCCCCTCCCCCTCCCCCAGAGCCCTGGGTCCCTGGAACCCGGAGCTGCCCGGCCGGCCCCTGCCTGGGGCAGACGCAGACACATATCCCAGGTCTTCGCGGGGGTCGGGGGGTGGGGGGACAGAGCCTCCTCCGGGGGCTGAGGACTCAGGCCTGCAGAGCTGTGGCTGGTTTCCGCCTCAGAGCGGAGCCCGGAGCTGCAGTCGGGGCTGTTTTTTCCGCTTTGGGCTCTGTGTCCCCCTCCGCCGCTGCCCGCCCCCATCCCCGCCCCCCCCAGCCACCAGGAACCAGCCCGAGTGACCTTCCTGCCTCCGGGCCCGCACTCAGTGCTCTTGGCTTCAGAGACAGGCGTTCTGGGCCCAGCTACTCCCCCTGCCCTCCTCCTGCCGGAAGCTCAGAAAGGCATAGTTAACCCAACGCCACAGCCAGGGCCGCTGCCGGTGGGGCTGGGCTGGGACGTGGCACCTGGGAGGGGAGGACCCCGGGAGGACCAGGGGAGCTGGGCAGGGCTATTCTGCTTGGGGCCGGGAGCTGGGCAGGGAGAGGACAGGGCTCTCCCACAGACAGCCCTGCTGGGCTCCTGCCCCCAGGGAGCCTTCCTCCAGCCACTGGCCTCAGGATCCAGCTGAGGAATGACGGGGAACTTCTGCCTTAGGGAAGGGGAGCAAGGCTAGCTTTTATTGAGCACCTACTGTATGCCGAGCCCTGCTCTAGACATTTAACATTCCCAGGAACCTAAAGATTTTAGAAAGGTTATCTATAAGGTGACCAGACGTCCCACTTTTGACAATTTTTAACAATTTGTCCCCAAATCGGGATGTCTGGTCACCTTAGTTATCTACCTCCCTTCCGTGAGGAAGCAGGCTGGGAGAGGTGGCAGAGATCTCACCGGATAAGGCTGAGCTCAGGGACCTGGAATGGGGTACGGGGGCATCCATGAAGAACAGAACCATCATCCCGGGAACTGCGGGCAGACCTTAGAAATCACCTCCGGCAGCTTTCCATTCCAGACGAGGAAACCGGGTCTCACAGAAACGAACTTGCTCCACCACTGCCTTGCACCACCCCACTGCTCCCCTGCCGTCTCCCTCCTCCCTGCCCCCCCCCCCCGCCCCCAAACACACGCACAGAAGCAGTTCCATTCCAGGGCCAAGGGAGGCCATACCGTCTGCCCCCTCCTCCTGGGAGGAACTGTGGGGCGGTTTCTAGGTGGCGCCTTCTGTGTGCCCGGGACGGCCGGCCACTGGGCTAGAAGCCACAGCCCCGGCCCTTGTTGTCTGGCCCGGGCCCTTCCCGCTCTGGCCATGCCCCGCGTCCTCCGCCCGGCACGGTGCCAGGCACCCCGAGGGCCTCAGGCTGGACCCTGGAACAGCTCTGCGGCCTGAGGACTCCTGTCCCCAAAGCAGGCACCCAGGCGCAAGGCGGGGCCTCGGAGCCTCTCCCGTAACTCTGCCGACAGCCCCTTTGTTCTTCCCTCTCCACAGGCAAAGAGCAGAAGGAGACCAACATCGAGTCTATGAAAATGGAGGCAAGTGTTTTCCTCAGCCCCCAGGGGCCCTGCGGACCCCGATCCTAGGAGGAGAAAGCCAACCGTGGCGAGCGTGCGTGTGTGCGTGAGGGGAGCCTGAGGCGGCCGCGGCCCCTCCTTTACCCATCCCTCTGTGAGCAGGAGAGGAAGTGGGCGTGGAGGTTGGAAGTCCCTCAAGGCAGCCATCTAGTCCCCCTGCCCTCCTGGCTTATGCCCTTGAGTCTTTATCCCCCCAGTCCCTCCGTCTCCAGCCCACCCAGGGCTTGCCCAGCACTGGCAGGGTGGCATCTCAGTCCAGAAGCCAGAGCTCCTGTGTTCTGTTGGAGGCGAGTGCCTCCTCAGCAACCCCTCCCCGGGAACCAACGCTGCAGGGGGGCTGTCAGTGCCCATCTTAATGCCAGTCTGTCTCTCTCTCTCTCTGTCCTAGGGCTCCCGGGGCCGGCTCCGGGGGGGCCTGGGCTGGGAGTCCAGCCTCCGCCAGCGGCCCATGCCGCGGCTCACCTTCCAGGCGGGGGACCCCTACTACATCAGCAAGCGCAAGCGGGACGAGTGGCTGGCACGCTGGAAAAGGGAGGTGAGGAGCCCTCTGGTCGGTGCCCCGACTGGCCCCACGTCCTCGGGAAACCGGACGTCCGCTTCAGCCACCCGCGGTGGCTGTGGTCAGACCCTGGCTGAGCCTCCGTGTCCCCTTCGGGCCCCATCTCTGGTGCTTGCAGGGAACTGCGTGCTCCTTAGGTGGTAACTGGTTCCTTTGTTCTCTCAACAATGTGTATGGAACGCTTAGCCGGTATCAAGCAGTGTACTAGGCTCTGTGCATAGTACTTCCTGTCCTCATGGAGTTGACATTCTGATGGGGGAGACGGGACAGAAAAGAAGTCAACAGGCTGAAGTAGAGGATCACGGGGGCTGCTCTGGGTGGGTGGGGTAACCAGGAGAGGCTTCTTGGAGGAAGTGACATTTAGGTGGAGACCGAAAGGAACGGAAGCGCTGGCTCTGTGAGGATCTGGGTGGGAGAGGACGTTCTAGCCCAGTGGTCGGCAAACTCGTTGGTCAAACAGAGCCACATATCAACAGTCCAACGATTGACATTTCTTTTGAGAGCCAAAAATTTTTTTAAGCTTCTTCTAATGCCACTTCTTCGAAATAGACCCGCCCAGGCTGATATTTCGTGGAAGAGCCACACTCAAGGGGCCAAAGAGCCACATGTGGCTCGAGAGCCACAGTTTGCCAACCACAGTGCTAGGCAGATAAACAGCACAGGCAAGGAAGGCCCTGACTTGTTTGGCCAAATGAAGGACCAGTACGCCCAGAGTGAAATGAGTAGAGGAGAAAGTGGGGCCAGCTGAGGCTGAGAGATGACTGGGGGTCCAATCATCAGCACCTCCGAAAGCTGCTGAGTCCTGAGCACACGGGGATGCCTCTGACTGGTCTCTGTGCAGAGGAGAGATGTGAAGTGGATTCAGGGCAGCAGTGGAGACCGAGGACAGATCCGGGCTGGATGCTGGAGATGGGACCAGCATGTGCCGATGGGTGGGCGGGAGCAGGAGGGGATGGAAGGACTGGAGGACAGCCCCAGGGGTCCGGCCTGAATGAATGCCGTGACGGGGAAGACTAGGGAGGAACAGGTTTGGGAATCGAGTTCCTGCTGCAATTCTGAGGGGCCTGGGGCCTGGGTAGAGGAAGGTCTGGCTGCAGGAACCCCTGCATTTCTGGTCCTCTGGAGAAGGGTGGCGGGTGGGGACAGAGCAGGGGCCTGGGAGGAAGCCAAGGGGAGAGTGTGCGTCTCAGAGAGAAGGTTTTCCGGGGAGAGTGGCCACCTGCCCTGTGGGAGCTGAATTCGTTGATTCGTGCCCCTTGCATCTGACGAACTGGAGGTGGCTGGTGACTTTTCTGAGAGAAGCTTCGGTGGGGGTCAGGTGGCGGTGGGCGCCAGCCGCGGAGGGCTGCAGCAGGGAGCGGCGGGGAGGCGGTGGAGAGGGAGAGACCTAGGGAAGCGCAGTTGGCCACTGCTCTTCGCGGGTTTGATTGGCAGAGGAAGGCGTGGAACCGTGAGAGGTGGTGAATCGCCACCTCCCAGGGCACCTCCCCTTCACTCTCACTGCCTTGGGCCCGGGGCCTACCGAGGAAGGCGCAGTCCTCAGCGCATTGTTCCAGGGTTTGCTCTAGAGAAAGTCACAACAGGGTGGGAGGTTTGGCGACTCGATTGTTCCCAGTTCTTTCAGGATCCAGGAAGGAAGAGATTACTTTCCCCGGAAGAGCCTAGAAAGGGCAGCCAGTCCCAGTCTGGGGGAGAGAGGGACTTGCCCCCCGAGCCTTTAAGTGCGATCTTTGGGATGGAAATTGGGGACCGGGCTATTCTACCTGTCTGGTCAATGGCCCCCCTCCCGGCCCCCTGGGACCAGGGGTGGGGCTTTGCGTTTCAACCCCTTGTTATGTATGCATGGTGATTTTTCTGCCCTTCCTTAGCCTTGGGGCTGGAAGCCAGGACCTAATCATTTTTAGACCTTAGAAAGCTTCTAGAAATTCTCCAGTCCTCAAACTGTGCTACCTGGAAGGCCCTCCATTGCAATAAAAGGGAAAAAAAAAAAAAGGTCTTTTCTCAATTTGCTGGAAAAATAATAGTACATTTTTCTCAATTTTGTTTTCTACTAAAAATTTTTTTTCTACTAAAATTTAAAGACTTGTTTATCAGGAACCTTTTCTGACTCCCCGTAAAAGTGGAGAGTCGTATAATGATCCCCCATGAGCCTATATCACCCAGCTCCAACGGTCATCAAAAGCTTTTCTAGAAAATCTTAAACCCAGCCAGTATAGGTAACCAAAGCGTATTAAAAGAAAAAAAAAAGGAGCCGAGACTGGTTTGGCTCAGTGGATAAGAGCATCGGCCTGCGGACTGAGGGGTCCCGGGTTCGATTCTGGTCAAGGGCATGTACCTTGGTTGCAGGCACATCCCCAGTAGGGGGTGTGCAAGAGGCAGCTGATCGATGATTCTCTCTCATTGATGTTTCTAACTCTCTATCCCTCTCTCTTCCTCTCTGTAAAAAATCAATAAAATATATATTAAAAAAAAAAAAAAAAAAAAAAAAAGGAAAAAACCCTCCAAAAGTTGATTTAATTTAAAATGTTTTAGGTATGTTCGACTTGCTATAGAGAGCTACAAACTACATTTCTGCTAGTAAAATTGTTCTATTCATAGGCTATAACCAGAGGTGTCTGTAAACAATTACATGACTTCTCACACAAGCGTTGGAACTGATATCCCCTCATTTTCAGGCCAGGAGTCCGGGGTGCGGAGCTGCACGCTGGCCACAAGCTCACGCAGCACACGGGATGGGACGGGATGGGATTAGAATTCAGGCTTCCTACTGCCACGTGGGGCGGGGGGGACGGAGTGGAAGACCACACTTACCCCTCTGGGGCTCTGCCCGGGGCTTCGGGAGGACTAGCTGCAGGTAACAAGGATGCTGGGGGGACACAGGTAGCTTTCAAGATTCCCAGGCTCCCCTCAGACTAAAGAGTAGTCACTGTCCCCATCGGTCCCGTTTCCGAAGTGGCTTACTTACCAAGGGTGACTCTTCCTCCCTCCCCGTCTCTGGTGGCTCTTTGACATCTGACCCTTTCTTCCGAAACTGCCTCCAAGGGCCTTCCTGCCCTTGACCCTGAGGTTCTTCCCCAGTTCCTCAGCGGCGTCTCCTCAGGATCCTCCTCTGTCCCTCCGCCGTGGCACCCCCAGATCTCTGCCCCCCCCCCATCTCTGCCCCAGCTGCTGCCTGTCTTGAGCCCCTTACATAGACGCTTTGACTTCCCTCCTCCCCCCAGAACACCTCCCCTCCTGCTGTTCCCCAGGCAGTGTCTCTGGCAGGTCCAGCCAGCATTTCCTCCTCGGAACGAGACACCTGCTCTTTAAAGCCTTCAGAGCACAGTTTTGAGTGGACTCCCAGAGCCCCCACATCCGAGTGCTGCGCCAGATACCAGGGCTGCTCGGACACCTCGAGGACTCTTAGTTGTCCCAGGATAGGATGAGGGCTCGGGGTACGCAGAAGAGCGACGCCCCAAGAGACTTAGACTTACTCTGCCTGGGGTCACCATACATCAGCAAGAGGTGGCTTTTGGCTTTTTAGGGATGTGCTGGGATTTAGGGGAGGGGTGAGGAGGGGAGGGCGGGCACTGCAGTAGGAGGTGTATGGCCTGCAGGGCCTGCAGGATCTGAGACACAAGAAAGGAAGATGGTGGTGGTGGTGGGACACAGGGAATGGGGGCTGGGGCTTGTGTGCCCTGCTGTGGGGCTCCCACCAGACTCTGGCCTGCATCCGCCCCTTCCCCTTGGGGTCTTCTTCCTCTGCTCAGTTTCCTTTTCCAGTGAGCACCCTTGTCAATTAGTCCACAATTATTAGGTGAGGGCTACTCTTTACTTTTCTGCCCACCTAAGGTTACCTACCTCCCCAGACTCTCCTGCTCCCCCCCCCCACAAAAAAAAATTTTTTTTTTTTTTTTAAAGAAAGCATGGAGTATCACAAAACGAATGAAGTTTAAAACAAGTGGATGAGGAAAACGGGGCACTTCTTCCTTCCCTGAGGCTGCAGAGGGAGTCCTTGTTGGGGCAGGGAAGCTATTGTCTGTCTTCTGTCTGTCCCAGCTCTTATTCTTTGCACCTCTTTGCTTATTCTTCTAAGGATCAAACTGTTTTAATCATGACCAGGCCCTGCTATAGAAGACACACTGGCTTCCTATTGTCTCCCCTTTCACGTCAGAAATCCTGTGGGGGTTCCTCTAGGCTTCAGCCCTCCCCGTGACCCCCACAACCCCCCCACCCCACCCCACCCCTTCACCACCGATCTCTGAGAGACCAGCCTCTCCTTTATATTGGCCATGCTCCTTCCCTCCTCCTTGCCTTTCTTCATACTGTGCTTTCCTATCCATTCTTCGGGGTTGAGTTGAAGAGCTGCTGCCTTCTCCAGGAAGCTCTCCGGGATTTCTCTAGTCTACAGTGACCTCTTCCCCTCTCTGCAGCCCTGTAGCCCTCACTGATAATACAGTTTCATAGAGTAGCTTTGTACCATTTTTTTTTTTTTAATGTGTGCATCATGTCTTATCCCATTGTACCCAGCCTGGTACTGGGCAGAGAATAGGCTCAACGAATACTTACTGGTTGCTAAGCAGCTGGGAGGTTGGTGAATGTGGGACACCTTCTCGGGGAGCTCAGCTCTTGGTTTCCAGAGGTGCTGGCAGCTGGACCGGAGAATAGCCTGGGGCCGGGGGACTGTGTGGGCAGGTCCCACAGGCTAGGCGGTGTCTCCGCTCTTCACCCTACGCCTCTGCTGTCCCCACGGGGCCTTGGCTGGGCCTGAGCCGGGAGAGCCTCCCCTGGACTGGGACAACTGGCCAGACCCCAGCAGCGGGGAGGGCAGAGGTGAGGCAGTACCTCCTCCCGAAGGAAGGCAAGTCCTAGATTCCCCTTCCTGCTAATTATCAGCACAAAAGGACCCACGAGAGTGCTCAGGGCTTAGGAAGGGCTTCTCGCTCGTATTACTTCATTGGTCCTCAGTCTGCGAGCAGAGGCCTAGCCAAGCAGCC